TTTGAGCAACAAAGAACGGTCCTCTTGAAACCGGAGCAATTTCATCTCCGAGCAGTGAAATCAACACTGACTGTTGATTCAACTTTTCTCAAGCAAATCCAGTCCAGTATGTCCTCAGACCCTCTTGTTCATGATATCGAGAATAATTCTTCCAAGTCTCATGATTCTTCTAAGTTCGAGTTCAAGAATAATCTATTATATTTTGAAGGACGCCTATATGTTCCAGAAGGAAAAGCACGTTTGCGTGTTCTTCAAGCACGTCATGACTTTCCAGCAGCAGGGCACTTTGGATATAATAAGACTCTGGAACTCATATCAAGAGATTTTTGGTGGCCACAAATGTGGAAGTCAGTCAAAGACTTTGTACAATCATGTGATATTTGTTCAAGATCAAAAATTCCTCGACATCGACCTTACGGACTTCTTCAGCCATTACCTATACCAGAACAACCATGGTCTTCTGTTTCTATGGATTTCATCACAGATCTTCCAAACTCAAGATCTTATGATTCTATATTTGTGATAGTAGATCGTTTCACCAAGATGGCACATTTTATGCCATGTACAAAATCTATCACAGGTGAAGAAACAGCTAAGCTTTTCATTGATAATATCTATCGCTATCATGGATTACCTAAAGATATCATATCGGATAGGGGAACTCAATTTGTGTCGAGATTCTGGAGGACTCTTTTCAAGATTTTAAAAGTGGACATAAAGCTATCTTCAGCTTTCCATCCTCAAACTGATGGACAAACAGAGCGCGTAAACCAAGTCTTGGAACAGTATTTAAGGTGTACCATCAACTACCAACAAGATGATTGGACAAACCTTCTGCCATTGGCAGAGTTTGCTTATAATAATACGGTACATTCCTCCACGCAACAAACACCTTTCTTTGCCAATTATGGCTATCATCCACGACTTGATACTTTTGATTTTTCAAAAGTTGATAATCCTGCAGCAGAAGATATGGCAAATCGGTTGTCAGAGTTACATGCAATAATGAAGGCGCAGTTGAAGAAAGCTCAAGAACGACAAAAGATAAATGCAGATGTATATCGTAAAGAGCAACCACAACTCAACGTGGGTGATAAGGTATGGCTACTTCGTCGCAATATCAAGACCACTCGACCTTGTGACAAATTGGACTATCGTAGGCTTGGCCCCTTTTCTGTTTCTGAACAGATCAACCCAGTTGCATATCGGTTACATCTACCGGAGTCAATGAAGATCCATCCTGTATTCCACGTGTCTCTTCTTGAACCATATAAGACAGTGGATATACAAGGAAGAAGACAAATGCCACCGCCTCCTATAGAAGTAGATAATAATGAAGAATTTGAGGTGGAAGAGATATTAGACTCAAGGCGGCGCCGAAATAAGCTGGAATATCTTGTTCATTGGTGCGGATATGATATTAGTGAGCACACATGGGAGCCATCCAGGAATCTAGCAAATGCATCAGCTAAAGTCAAAGTTTTTCATCAACGACATCCATCAAAACCAAGATGAAAACCTCTCTTATAAAAGAGACAAGATTGAGGCAAGATAACATTCAATTTCCTATCCTTGTTTGTAACTTCTTTGCATTTGTGACGCTAATTAGATGGAGAGCCAACAACCAGCGGATTCAACTCAAGAACCTTCGTTTGCTGACTTACCGGATGAGACATTGCGATTGTCACAACCTTCAAGACGATGCAACCGAGATGAAGACCCTCAAGAACGACATGTTCTTCCTCGAATAGATGGTGAGATACAACGCATTTGGTATCACGACCTTGGAAGAGATTCTCGATGTTTGGTGATATTATTGGAGATAGGAACGACTCCTGATGGTGTTTCAAATGTATTATTTGAAGGAAGTTATGAAGGCCTCAACAGTGATCAAATAACAGGGTGGTCTTCTCGCCCTGGAATGGGACACTATCGATGGTTAAGAGGACCCATCAACTATCTTCGAAGAGAACAAAGATCAGAGTATGTGGCAAATACAATTCGCCGCATATTAGATTTTCTCAATATATAATCACCGCTCCTCGTGGAACTCGTCCCTAGAAGGGGGGGTAATGTCACGAACATACATATAATTACCTATATGAATAGATAAAAGTAGATAAAAGTAGGGTAATTGTATAATATCTTCTAGAGAAGCTTCTTAGAAGCTTCATAGATGCTGCTTTGACTTTATAGGAGTCTATAGTTGACTTTTAGGCTAGAAACTTGGTCAACAAGTTAGCCATGTGCCACACATGTTGGAAGCTTAAAGAACAAGCTAACTACGTGGTCCATCCATAGAAAACTTGCCTTGTAAGCAAAGGCATGTGGCCTAGAAAGTCAACATATATTGGAGGTCTTATAGAACATCGCCACGTGGCTTCTAGTTAGATAGTATATATAGAGGCAAGAGTGAAGCCCTCTTCACTCTTGTCAACTCCTTTCTTGCTTCTAGTCTAGTTTCAAGGGTCTCTAGTTTTCTTGTATTTGGGCAATAGCCATTCCAGTTTCCTTTTAATATACCTACTTGTTTATATTTTTCCTCATCGAGTCTTTGTCCTTGACACATAGTAGTTGAATTACTAAGTACTTTAATTTATTTTTTGTCAATAAATTTGATACAATTCTATAGATCTTCTTTCTAAAATATATGTTTTATTGTGGTCTTCTATAGTTTGTAGTTTTTTAGTAATGCTAGCATTTTGTCCCTCACAATGACAAAATCTAAAATATCTATTACTTTAATTTTGATTCAAAAAATATTGTATGTTTTTTTTTGCATATTCTACTTGACTTCATTGCATGCTGAATGGCCATCTATTGTTTTGACTCTTCAAAAATACTACATAGCTTTGATATTATAATAAATTTAACAAATCATACTAGTATACTAAATTATTAAGCTAATACATAAATAATCTTATATAGTGGTGAATAATTATAACTAATGATAATTATAGAAACTATAGGATAGTTTAGAGGTCTTAATAATTATGTTGTGATGAATATAAGATGGATGCATAGCCTAGGTCTTAAATTACATGACAAATATTAATAGTATCAACAGCTTGGACTTCTAAAGGACATGTTGTTGTAATTAGTTGCTTCTAGAGTATAGTTGTTGTGATTAGTTGTTTCTAAAATATGGCATTGGCATCCATCCACCTCACAAATTATTGTTCAAGGTGGTTAAAGGATGTAGAGGAGCCTTGCATTTGAAGAAGTTTATAGTGCTGACAATACATTTTTATATGGATCAAGATAAAAGAGAGATAACTTTGTCTATAAGTACTATTTAGAGTTGAGCTATCAAGTAACATGTATGTTTAAAGATGAATCTTGTATTTATTAATATCAACAATATTTTTATGAAAATTATTTGCCTTTTAGAAAAATATACTTATTTTTATTATTAATAAATAAGATCATGGTTATCACTTTGTTTATTTTTCAAATAATTCTTTTGTGATAATGAATGGATTTATATTACAAATTAATTGTTCATGATTTTAAATAATAATGATATATATATATATATATATATATATATATATATATATATATTTATTATAGATATTAAGAATTTTTATTATTATAAGAAAGAAAGTTTTTTATTAATTTATAACCATTAAATATAGAAATAAAGTAAAATAAAATATCATACATATCCTCAAAATATGTTGAAATATCAAAAATATCCTTATATTCTTGATAATAGCAAATCTATTCTTTAATTCATACCTTATGAATCTAACATTGTTGGATGTCTCTTACAAGGAAGTATTATGTATGAACCACATATTAGTTATTTCTTTGTTATTAATTGAGTTTTATTAATTAAAAAATAAAATTAAAAATATTAAAGAGATTGATAGGTGCAAGTTCTTGAACTTAGCTCGAATAGGATAAGAATATGCTACTATCAAAACTTCATAGATGTATGATAGAAATTAGTAGATACATGAGGTAGAAGATGGTTTGAAGTAACAATTGCAATGTTGCACCACACTAGTTTTTTTATGTACTATTGAAGGTTCTAATCTAATTTAATACTCTTTGATTTTTTGATTTATTTTGTAATAATTTTCACAACATCATAATATCCAAATTGAATATACCCTCTAGAATCAAGTAATAAAACAATGCAATAAACAACTACATTTAAGTAACAAAAAACTATCGTTATTAGACATATTGAGGCAAAAAAGACTAGAACTTGATTACATACAAACTCTAAACTTTTGATGCATGAAATGCAATATTTGTAATGAGACAATGGAGTTATGGAAAGGAAGTTGCTAGAATTGTAGACCTAGTAATGCAAAAAGTGTGCAATGGCATCAAGGATGTCTATTTTGTGTAAGGTCCAAAATTTAAATAAAAGTGCCACACCAAAATATACATGACATGAGATTGAATTCCAAATGGAGCTAAAAAAAAAGATGGTTATTACTTATCACATCCAAGGGTAGATTTGCAATTATCACAAAATTAAGAGGTAGATTTGCTATTATTAAAAATATATGAGTATTCTCAATATTACATCATATTTCAAAGATATATTTGATATTTTTTCTAAAAAAAATAATATGCTTAGCCTATTGTTTCATCCAATACTTAAGCATATCAAAGAAACACATTATTTCATAGAAAATACTAAAATATTAATATATCATTGTAGTTTATTTCTTTATTTATTTATTTAGTTTGGTAATCACCATTTCTCAATCAAACTATCTACTATAAAATTACATTTAATTATAAAATATGTGGTATTAAAGATCAAAGAACTTATAATCTTGTTTGAAAGAAAATCCAACGATAAAAAAAGTATATTTTGGAGATGAGCTAAAGCACATTAGAAACCTTGGAAATTTGGATGATAAATGGATGGTAAATGGATAGAAAGGAGAAGTAGGAAGACGATGTGGGCTATGCCCATGGTGTGAAGGAGGGCGATGGCATGACATGGCATGGCCATGCAAGGTCCACATTCTTCTGGCGATTACGGCAGTCGCAGCGACGGTGGCCGACGACTCTTCGGTGGATCCTGAAGGATTCTTCCTCGCCCATCTTTCGCTGCATACCACAACACAACTCCCCATTCCCCTGTCTCTCAATTGGGTAGTGTCTAGTTTCATCACCCTGTTGAGCAGTTGGTCGCATCGAAGCTAGAATTTCACTGCGAGAGCTCCAAGCACTGGCCGGAAGGCAATCACCTCGCAACTATCTGTAGTTGTTCGGGGAGTCGCTTGGACTGGAACGCCGTCGTCACGATGCCTGTGTTCAGAACTGCTTTCAATGGCTACTCTGTGAGTCCTGCTTGTTACTGGGTGGCGGAATTTTTGTGAGGGTCTCTTCATCTGCAGTTGGTCTATCTGTTTTCGGTTTATCCAATTACTGTTTAGTGGAAGAGCAATGTGAGCCTGAGTGCGTAGACGTGACGCGATTGGAAATTGTAAGCTGGTTGCGATGAATTTTTTTGTCGAATTTGAGGGTTTGGTGGCAAGATTGTTGAAAAGAGATCCAAGGAAATTGTAGGTTAGGATGATTTAGAGTTTTATTTGTAATTCTCGGGCTAGGAATGGATTTGAGCTGGAGAAGAACTTGTTGTCGCTCACAGGTGAAATTCAGTCCCTTCCTGGAGAATCGCCTAGCTGTTCCCACTTCGCAAAACTTTGGCATGGTGGGCAATGGCCGCCAGTATATACTTGACGTAAGTTGCTCCTGCGAGTGAGACTCGTTCTATTTATTTCGAGTTGTGAATGGATTTGTTGAAATAGTAGTTGAAAAATCATAGGAGTTTTCAGATTCCGTTTTTTTATTGTAAATTTTACGATTTTGTGGCTCGAATGTTCATCTAATTGAACCACGCTAAGTTGCTTGTTATTATCCGCAGCTGACGCCAAACGGCTTGGTGCAAGTAGCTGCATTTGATACTCCTGATAGCCTCTATGATTGTTCGTGGTCTGAGGTAGGCTTTTTCCACCTCATTGAGTGGATTCCAGAAGGTTTGATTGAAATGGTTTATCCGTTTCATTGTCAGTTAGGATTCGGGGCTTTTTCTTACCAATGCTGACGTTCATTTTATAAATCAGAGATTCTTCCGTTCGCATCTGGTCTTTAATTTTTATATTCCCCACGTGATGTTCACGATGAGCCATGCTGTTTGATACTTGAAATTTGATACAGGAGAACGAAAATATACTGGTATCAGCGAGTGGAGATGGCAGTATCAAGGTAACAATTGAGCTTTTTCCTGTCTTCCAATTTGGCAAGTCTTCATCAGGCACTCAGCATACTTACAGTATCCAATTACAAATCGGTTTGATCTACCTTATGAGACTTGTAGTAGCTGCAGTTAACGTCGTTAAAAACACCTTCAATGAGAGCAAGGAAATTTCAATGAGCCTTGTTAGTCGAAAACCTAACCTATTTGTTGACCAGTTGTGAAGCTCTGCCATTAGGATGTTCAGCTTGCGATGACATGTTCGGTGATGCTTGTGTCTTTCAGGTTTGGGATTTATCAGCTCCTCCTATGGCTAACCCGGTTAGCAACCGCCAAGAGCATGCACACGAAGTGTATGTTTTAACCCTTGCCAACTATTCTGCAGTAGACAGGCCTTCTCGTTCAACTATATACTGTTATGAGTGTCTTTTCATTCTTTGTCAGAATAGACTTATATTTTGCTATTATTTTCGTGCTTGCTTTTCAGCTATAAAGCTGAAGGAGATCCCAAGTCTTCTTATAGTGGGTGACATCGATGCTTGTAATTGTGAAAATTACTCGTTAACTGCACTGATTAGTCTATCGTGGAGTGGAGCAGGGCGTCGGTGGACTGGAACATGGTCAGGAAAGACTCCTTTTTGAGTAGTTCCTGGGACGACACAATTCGGGTAGGGCTTTCTCATTTAGGAGTGAAACCTCCCCCCCTTCTTGTGTCTCTTTTCTGTCTTTATTGTTATTTACACTGTTTTAGAGGTGTCATTTTATCTAATACTGTATCCTTGTCCTTGTTAAATGTTTATCAGTTAGATATGTGATGTAATTCATCACGAGTTTTATGTTTTTTTAATTTTATTCTCAGCTCTACTCTATTGTATCAGAAAGTACCACTGTGTATTACGTTCCACTTACCCAGTATGAGGATTTAGTGCTTGTAGTTGAAAATTGTAAGTGCATAATGAATAAATGCTAGGAATGGGTGGTTACATCGCCGTTGAAGTTTTTCCAGACCTTGGGCTGGAGTGGTGAGAACACACTGACGACGTTACAATAATGTGAAAAGAACATATGTGTTGGTCACTTGTCGGTATTTACAGTATACAAAGCATCAGACTCTAACTATTGGATTATAGTGCAGTTGTGGACCCTAGATTCACCTCATTCACTAAGGACCTTCGCCGAGCACTCTTACTGTGTCTATAACGCATGCTGGTAAGTCTTTGACAGTGCGTCTTGCTGCGACCACATCTGAAGTGCTTCTCATGCTTACTTTCAGGCATTGTTAGTGGCTGTATTCTGATACTATTATTTAGTATCGATCCCTTCACTCGCGCCACTAAATTTGATTCTGTTGTTGACTAATATAGGAACAATCCAACATTTCCTCATAAATTGGTAGCAAGCAAGGAAACTAACTTTTGTGGGGACTTGTGGAAGACAGGAACCCTAGGCACGCAGACATATTTGCCTCTGCCTCTGGGGATTGCACGCTCCGCATATGGGATGTGCGTCAACCAAGATCAACCTATGTGATTCCAGGCCATGAAATGGAGATCCTCACATGCGACTGGAACAAGTACAACGAGTTCATGCTCGCATCAGGCTCAGTGGACAAGTCTATAAAGATATGGGACGTCCGCAGCCCGCGCCAGGAACTGACACGGATGCTGGGCCACACGTATGCTGTTCGGCGGGTGAAGTTCTCGCCTCACAAGGAGAGCCTCATGGTGTCGTGCTCCTACGACATGACAGTGTGTTTGTGGGACTTCCGGCAGCCTGAGGATGCTCTGCTCGCGCGTCTCAACCATCACACGGAGTTTGCTGTAGGTGTTGACATGAGCGTCCTGGTGGAGGGATTGTTAGCAAGCACCTCCTGGGACGAGTCTGTCTACGTCTGGCAGATGGGTATGGATCCTCGTGCTGCTTAGACCTTCCAATCATACATAGATCATACATTTAGTTATTCTTTTGTACTTTTTTCCCTCCTCCTGCCAACTATTCATCAATTGCATTTAATTCGGCGCCCTATATTTCCTTTTTCTTGGCTCATTTAAGTTTCATGGTCATTATCTTTAGGCTGTTTGAGGATTGAGTTTCCACCGACTTAGCTAAGTCTAATAACTGATGGGCTTACGATGCACCATTTGGCCACCAAAACCTTAAACCCTAAACCCTGGCTTCTCACCAGTTTCCTCAGAGGCTCTGCAAAAAACACACGTGATCAAGTGGTTGTTTTCTAAAAGCTTCCACATTTTTGATAACCTCATGGTGCTTCTCAAAAGTTTTTAGATTTGAGAAGCTATTATGACATATTGATAGAGACTTTTGAATATTTCTATGAAGAGGATATTTTCACAGAAATATTCATAAATATTCATGAATATTCATAACTTTTGTATATTTTATTGAGTAGGCGGTGCAGCATGGACAAAAATTTCTTTTCGACATATTTTGAATTCAAACCTTCTAATAACTAATCTCGGATCCAGTTCTCTACTCTCCAACTTGGGCCACAAGTGTCCAACTGGTTCGAATTTTATCTCACTCGAAAACTCCAGTAGCTGCACCAAACAAAAGCAAAAAAAAAAAAAAAAAAAAAAAAAAAAAAATCCCTCTTCTGTCACGCCGAGTTCGAAGAAAATGAAACTATGAGACGTCTGATGTAAATCTTCCCAGTGAAACCAGACGAGTCTCGTTGTCGCAAGCGCTAACCAGAGGCAGCACGACTGGCATGTCGCCGAGGGGAAGCATCCATAAAGGTGCATTGAGCTTGAGCTCGAAGCGGAAAAAAATGGGTGTTACAACTTGCACGTTATGACTGAAGAAAGGACCGTGATTTCATAGATAGATGTCTAGATGTCTAGATGGGATCACATCTAGGTCGATCGTTCAGAGAGCTCCAGCTTCGAGCTTCAGTGTGTAGCAGGTATCATCCGCGGTGGGACCCGTGAACTGAATCGGCCCAGGACTGATGTAACTATCTTCCACAGCCCACTGGTCTCGCATGCTAGCAAATGTCTTGAATGGCGCACCGTCAAGCTCCACCATCGCCTTCTTAATTACAGGCTTGTTCTTTCCCCTGCGTCGCTCCACATCCATGAGCTGCGTCAGCGCTGTCCCGCCCACACCCCACTCAGTCGCCGGCGCGGTCAAGTTCGATACAGATGCAATCAGCCCCGTTTGACCCATGTGCAGGAGACCGCTTGCTGCGAACCCCAGCGCGTAGCAGTAGGTCGCATCGAAATTGGTCGGCAACCCACAACGGCCCTCGTATCCGAAGAAATGCGACTGGCCCTTGAAGAACCCTTTGAATGTCTCCTCGTGCTGCCGTGCGAAGAGCTCCGTCTCCACCATGGAGATGAGCATCTTCTCGGTCTCGATCCTCGCCACTTGCACGTTTCCGTGAGGATCCCGCTCCAGCAGAAGCTCCTCTTGTATGTTATGAGGGAGGGAGTCGAACAAGGCCCGACAGGCGGGCTTCAGCTTCGATTTCCAGTGGCCTTGGGGGTCGCACCCCTGAGTCGCCAGGAGATCGTTCAAGTCTGCAATCAGGCTCTCGATTTCTGGGATGAAGTCGATCAACCCCTCCGGAATCAATATCACGCCGTAGTGTTTTCCCAGCCCGGCCCGCCTGCACACAACATCTGCTATTGAATTCGTCACCTGCCGAAGCGTCTTCTTCTGCGCATGAACCTCCTCGCCGATGATGGCCATGTTTGGATGCGTCTGGAGCGCGCACTCCAGCGTGATGTGACTCGCAGCACGCCCCATTAACCTTACGAAGTGGTAGTACTTCCCGGTGGACCTTGCGTCGACCATAATGTTCCCAATCATTTCTGAGTAGATCTTGCACGCTGTGTCGAAGCCAAAACTGATCGGCACTTGCTTGGATTTTAAGTCCCCGTCAATGGTCTTCGGGCACCCCAACACGCGAGTCTTGATTTTCTTCTCCCTGAAATACTCCGCTAGGACGGCAGCGTTTGTGTTGGAATCATCTCCTCCGATCACCACCAAGCCATCTAAATCCAACGCTGTGACGGTCGTCTCCGCCTGCTTGAACTGCTCCGGCAACTCGATCTTGTCCCGGCCGCTGCATATTATGTCGAACCCACCTTGGTTCCTGTATGGATACAGAAGAGGGGTGGTGATTTCAAGCCACTTGTTGCGCATGATGCCTGCAGGGCCACCTTTAAATCCATACAAGATGCTCCCGGGGGCATGAGTCTGGAGGTAGTCAAACATCCCAGCGATTACGTTGTGGCCTCCCGGAGCTTGTCCGCCAGAGAGCACTACTCCCACCTTCAGCACACGGTTTTCATCGTAAGCTGACCCTTCGCATGGTATCATTTCCACTGAGGGCTGCCCGAATAGATTCGGAAAGAGCTTGGCGATCTCTTCTGGGTGCCCAGCCGCTGTCGATGGGGGCCCATGCTTGAGCTTGAAGTGGCCATGGAAAACTTTAGGCAGGGGTGGGGTGTGATCGAGGCGGCTAGCTTGCACGGGGCTGTACACCGACAAGTCTCGTGTGCCGGTTTTTCCAGGTGCTTGGTAGCCTTCGAGGTGGCCATAAGGATTTGTTACCGTCATGGCTGAAGAGAAACACAAAATCAAACTTAGATTATACCCTAGCATCAATTCAACTTCCAATTTTAAATGAAACAGCTCAAAGTAACGCTAGGTTTAAGAATTTCATGAAAGTGAATAGGTTAAAATTGACCTCAACAAGGTCTACTAACCAAAATGCAGACGAGAAAGACAGATTTTTCCAAGTCCGTCAAACTAAGAGCAGAACAGAACGCAGATTTATAAACTGGCAGTAGGGCTGCGAGAATCGCATTGGGTTCGATGAACTACCTCGCTCTTGATCGACGTCTACCAATCAGTTCTCCAAACCCTCACCGACAGATCTTCCGGCAAGAAATCAATCAGCTGCTGTACTCCGAAGTTGCTCTCAATCGATCTCCATCGCCAGTGTCACCAATCCTCCTTTCGCCACTCACAAGCACAATCAACTTTTGGAAGAGAAGCACAGCACTGGAATCACAATCGCTCCACTATTGAGGAAGTGAAAGCATCCTGCCTCTTTAGCATGCGCAAGCATGCGCGACTTTTTCTAGGGCGACATGAGTCATCATCAGAGCCAACTAAATGGCGATGCGGTGAGGGGACGATGATTCCAGTGATGACTCGGAAAGGAACCCATGCTCACTGCTGCATATAAATATATAAAAATACAATTATTTTATCCGGACGAGGATCTGCGTACACTCTCGCGAATGATGCTTTTGGCACATGCTCTCGAGAAACACAGCACAGGCAGACAGTCACAGCACGACCTGAACGACCTGACTAACAAGCGATCGAGAACCTTTACCTGCCACGTTGTGGGTTTCTGCAATCCTCCCCAATTTGCAGCTATTTATGGATTGTTTAGAAACATAAATTTGTAAGCTTTGGTGTCAGAGTCGACATAATGTGGTTAACCAAGACTGGAATTTTTTTTGGCAGGATGTGTATTAAAATTGTAACACTGACAATAATTTGTAGGAAGCTTTACACTAATGAAAATATGACGGAGAACTTCGTCTACTGGGCAGTTTCTAATGGGGTTGTTCTTGATCTGACGTAAACGTTTTTTGTGCACCAAGCTAAGACTGAAGCGACAGCAACGCCCATTACGGAAATGGAAGCTAAGAATACAAGTGAGTAACCAAAGCATCGCCGGCCATAGCAGGTGTTTATATCCTTGGTACTCCACTGTCGGTTGGGAAAATGGCTATGATAATTCAATACTTCGCGGTCATACAGAAAGCCTACAACCTGTGCAGAAAGAAGGTAGGCGCCAAAGGGAACAATTGACCTGGGGCATTACAACACTTCCCAAATCAGTCCTCATATTTGAAAAAAAACATTGTTCACATTGTAAACATATTAGAAAGCGTTTGGAAGAGGAGATTGATCGAGTAAAGGGAAAATGAGGAATGTCAAACGGTTAATGTTCTTTTCCATTAAAAGTAGCATCCTTCTTAAATCTGATGAGGTCATCTCTTTTAGAAATTGATACGAAAGCAGTTTAAATATTGCCAGTTTGATTACGATTTCCTCAAAAGGGAATGGTTCATTTGGAGACTCACACGATTGCTTTGTAGATTGTAGGGAATTGACGTAATCCGAAAACCTCAGAAACGATGCATGGGATTAAGCTCCAGAATGCCCCGTAAGCAAGACCTACACAAGCCGATCCCAATGCCAATATAGGCACAGCTGCAACTCCCCAACCCCAACTAAATTAATACAACCATAACTCTACAACAATCGCCCCGAGCGGAAAGAAAATCACGCCTCTTTAAAACAAAGAATGGATGTCGCACGTATGACGTAAACACTGAATATATATAAAACACAATCGGACTAAGAGGATAAAAGGTCACGTACAACCAGTAGCAAGCAGTAGGCAACCAAACATCATGGTGAAATGGGCAGCAAGGAGACTGAGGGGCCTCGGCCAGCCTTTCCTCAGCAAAGAGTCGGATCCATATCTGTGGCACACATCGAAAGAATTTAGATGCCCTCATCAGATGATACAAATGTACCCAGACAGATAACAACACCGATGTTGTTAAAATATGATGAGAACTGGTGCTGGTCTAACTTAAAAGTAGTAGGGTAGGAAAAGACAAAATTGAGCCGGAACAGACCCTGCAATGAGGCGCCCAAAGCAACTCCAAATACTAAATAAACCTACTAAACTCTCCACCCCGTCCATATCCATCGCTCTCCCCATCTGTTGAATCGAACAAGAACAATTTTCTGATTAATTCTTTACTTGTTTTGCAGAGCTCTGGCACTCGAAGTACAAAAACTGAATTTCAGCCAAAATGTAAGGTTGAAGATTTAAGCTTATCACAGAACCTGTGACAGGTTGTTGATGACCGCCAACCCGCAGCCCGGCCCCATCATCGCAATAAACGCGAGAATCCTGCAGCGTCATTTTGAGGTGTGGGTAAGAATGAGAGACATTCGACGTCTTGTGTCAGGACATCAACAATCTAAGAAAAGTCTACATACATGGCATTCAAAATTCTAAAGAATTCACTCTGTAGTGAGATGTAACTTACCAAAAATTTGCAGTTTGTATGGCTTTCCTAACTGTCATGTCCGGTGGCTCAAAGGGACTCTCGAATATATTTTTCACACATGTATCCTCGCCCAGGTTTGCGTCTACACCAACCTTTGACCTCGTCTCAAACTCACCCTTGAGAGGTGCTTGCTCTTCATGCTCAACAGTACAAGACTTGTGAATTCGATGGAGCATGACATTACCTCCGCTAATTTCAATGTTGGATTCGTCAACAAGGATATCAAAACCCCTCTCCTGAGCTGAGGACATAGAGGCCCTTTCCCCTGTCATTCGTCTCTTCAGCATCGCGACTGGACTATGGAGCACCTGAAGATAGGAAACGTCAGCAGCAGAAATTCTTTTGAAAAGATCTATATAAAGAAATGTGCAGAAAGATAGTACTAGAGCATACAGTCCGTGTCCTTTATGAAAACTTGACTACAGCGAAGGAATGATAACACTTTTTCAACATAAATATTTAATTTTTTGCAGTTATAAGAACTTACTGGCATTGCAAATGAAATGCCCATGATTGTGATCATCACAATTGCAAATGCAATGAGCACTGGTTTCGTTAATTCATCTTCCAGGAAGGCCTAAGAAATACCATCATGTCCACAGTTTATAATTCAGCATCATCAAGCGACTTCAATCATGATCACTGCTCGGATTTTGCTTCCCCAAACTCTAACATACTACTGTTTGTAACTGAATTGGTGCGTAAATCTACCGATACGTCAAAATCATTTGCAATTCATAATCAGCATTCTACAGCAGTGTATTGTGCAACAAACAAGCAGGAAAGGGAAGGGAGTATACTTCAGTGAGAATAATAACAAGAAGATAAACAGCCAAGCTGATGATGGTCCCCTTTAAACACACGTAGCACACAGTAGAGTGGTGGAGTCAGCATGACCAATTTGCTGTCATGAAGTGACTCAATAGGATATTTAAAAAATAAGATAATTTACAACTTTTGTGCGGTTTTAAACAAAACATTAAAAACGGTGACATTGAAATATTACATCTGTGCATGAGTTTGAAATTGTGAACTTACATAAGTTAGTTGAAACCTCCACTGCGTATTAGCTCGGTTACTCTCCCCAAAACCCTCAGATGAATAGGGGCGGATCATGAGCGCCAGAGCTAAGCCTATAATTGTAGGGCCCACGGCGACAAGAAGCACGTACCTATCTACATTCGGCTTAAAAAATGCCTTGTAAATCTGACACGAAGAAAAATTAAAGTTAAAATTAGACATCGTATCACGTGACAACAAAAATCATGATAGTACCAGAATACTGCTTCCATGAACAAGATGTAAAACCATGCACCAATTTAATTGGTTGAAGTTAACGTTACCGTTACAAAAATGGCCCCACTCAGTCCCACCTCGGCTTTCAAAATGCCCAAAACAGTTCCTCGATGCTCTTGAAAGTTCCGTAAGCTGTGAAATAGCAACATGATCCCATTCCATGAGATTCTGTGCCATATCCTTAGAACAACGATTTCAACTGCGTCAAACATGCAATCAACACAACCTTCCCATTTCTCTTAAGGCTGGATTTGTGGTTTGATACAGGGAGAGAGCATTTACTTGGTACCAATACAAGCTAAGTCCATCCAACTATCACCACCCACGCCTATGCCGATTGCTGTACAAAGCTACCCTTCCCACCATCCCCACCAATCCATGGTTGAAAAATTTAGATAATTTCCTCGGAAAACGTCTATAGGGATATTCAGACAATTAGTCAATATCCATAGTCAATACGAAGTAAGACAAGTCATCAAAGTTTAAGAGTACGAGTAGATCACCAGCCAAAACGGTGGTGACATCTTTCTTGATAAGGTCATCAACACCTGTTCAAATTGATCAACCCACCCCCTCCTTCCATCAGTTGCATCTATGGTACTTTTACGGACATGAACACACGAGAGATTGTGAATGATGCTGAACGAAGAAGACTAGATAGCTGAAACCTCAAGGGAATTGCAGAGAGAAGCTTTCATGTTTTTCAACTTAGTTGAAAGCGAATCTAGCATACTTACAATCATGTAGCCAAAAAAATGAAGCACAGCACCGATTGAGACTGTGACAAAAGGAGGATACAAGTTGAAAAGGAGCCCCCCCAAAATTCCCAGTGATTGTCCGAAATCCTTTGCCGCACCAATTTCATCAACTTGAACTTGTGTAAATTGTAGCACCTCTTTCAAATGTTCGCTATAAACCGCATACGTATACGTCAATCCTCCACATGCCTGAAGCCAATTGAGAAATCATACATGACTTGACCATAGGTAAAGACTCCAGCAATCGATTCAATGCCTCAAGAGCATTATTATATAGAACTTATCTACTACAGAAGAGTTTCGCAAGCTGCAAAACCACTGGTGTTACATCCACTGGAATCAACTTGGGTTGAGACAATCTCGGTTGCTGTGCACCTGAATGGCCATGGCTGATGCCAAGCCTGCCCACTGATCGATCCTCATGGTTAAATATTCCTCCACTGATCCCTCTAGCCCTCCTTTTCAACCTAGCAAAGGAATAGGGTTTCCCACAAGTGTCTGAATCAGCTGCCGCTGCATGAGCTCCACAACAAATTTCCACGCATTTCCTTAATCACATGAGTGAACCCATGTAATTCCATTCCTCCTCAACACAAAGATGGTAATGCTTCTAAGCTCTGAGCTGGAAATTAGCGATACTTACCTTATTCTATTAACCTGTCATGCAACATACCTCTTTGGATTTCAAATACCAACAACCAAGTTAACAAATTGCTTCGACACATTGTAATTTCTAGTTAGCGTCAATTAGGTCACTGGGTAAGCTCTCAACCTGGGTGTCGCAATTGCACGTGGAGCTTTAATGGAATACTTCCGACAGCGTACGAATGAGAAATTGTTTTGCTTCTATCATGTACCTAAAGCCTTCATCATCTCTCCACCACTTAAATCCTGATGTCTTTGTGACAAACAGAAGCAGCGGACAGTTGAGAACTGAGCTAGTTTAACCGCAATACTAACCCGACTTGGATATTTCTCGACCGGAGGAATTGAGGACACTATTTGCCAGTCACATAAGGAAATCTGCACCTTAGAACTCGTGCGTTATTCGATGAATAAAAGTGCACACTCAAACTTCGTACGAGAGAACGAGGCACCACTTGTAGGCTCACTCTCAAAAGAACCATCAAAGTCTACCAGGTGGGACCACAAACATAATGCTCTCCTTCCTATAAATCCTTAACTAGAAATGTCAGGAATAAGAATTCCTCTGACACACTAGCGCTCTCTAATCTTCCCAAAGGGATTGCTCACAAAACCATCTCAATGTGCACATACTTTCACCGAAATATGGCTGCTTCGACATTCCTCCACTCCGACTTCATCCCAACTGATCAGAACAATATTGTAGATTCAAATGGCGCAAACGTCAACACTCGTGTGGCACAAGGTGAGAGAGATAGTGAGAGAGAGCCGTGTTTTCCATGCCCACTATCTTAGTCTCCAGGGCGGCGCACATGAGGGAGCACCGCAGGAAATGCATCTGGTCGGAACTGTTTATCACGTGTTTGTAAAAGTGACCTCCTCAGGGATCGGCATTGCCAAGTTTAAGAAGTGGGCCGTCGTATTCTTGATTCCGAGGCTTGAATTCCACGCGCCTTCCACGATCCACAACGAGGCTAATATCCAACCATTAGACGCATGGTTTTCTCGTTGCGGAAACACCGTAAACTTCAAAACATTACAACACTTTGAACACTGCTTTTCCACAAAAAACGTTCTTCGAGGACTCTGAATGCATTCAAGGTCGCCGTCATCAGATACAAGTGCCCTATTAGTTTCTATAACAATCTGTCGACACAAATGTGCATCGGAAACAATCAGCAAGCTGGATGTGGTCGTCGACCCACTAAGAATCTGACCAAGGATTCGTTTCAAGGATTGCAACCAAATTCTAAGCAACTGGGTGGCTAGACACCGTCGAGCTTCGATAGCTTCTCAGTTACAGAATTGTTGCACATTCAAGCATGATCGATCATGTAGAGGAAACGATCTGACAAGGTGATCCGTGCTTAGCGTCGGTGGCTGTTGCGGAGGGAAGCTTCATAGTTTCGCATCAAGGCCTTCAACCCTGAAACCCGGTGTTTTAGGGTGAACCCGTTTGTTGGGTCTCCATTTCAAGATTGTTCATAAAATGTTGAACATGAAAAAGACTATGTGGGTGTTGATTATTGTTGATACATGTGAGTTTGCATATGAATTGCTTAACTGGTTTTCAATACATAGTATTACTAAAATTTTGAAGATCTGGGAGCTAATTTTAAACGATCATGGTGTTTTGTTTGGTTGTTGTTGTTGATGATGAAATGTTGAGGTGATGTATTATTTATTTATTATGTTTACTAATTTATTTTTCTGTACAAAAATTTTGGATTGTTAAAAAAAAAGATTTGTCCATTCCAGCAAACCTACTTTGTCAATCTAACTTAATTAATTTGATTTTGGTAGAAACAAAATTATTTGCACCTAATAAGCAATATATTGGTAATTTAGATATTTCTTTCAAGCTTGCAGGCTATTAAAGAAAGGTTTATCTGCTTAAGTGAATCCACTTTGTCAACCCAATTTAATTCAGTTCATTTAGGTAAAAACAATACTATTTTTATTTAATAAGCAACATGTTGGTAATTTAGATTTTAACTTCATAATAGGTTCTATTTTAGATTCTAATATTTAGGTCTAGAAACTAGTATATAGAGAAATAGTAATTAGTAGGAGTTAATATATTAGTTGTTGGAAGTAACTGTTATTAGGTTAAAACCTATTAAAGAGTAGTAATGAAGTAATGACTTAGATTAATATACAAACTCATATAATCAATATAAGGAGGAAATTACCTTTAGTGTATTGGTCTTAATATTGTCAATTACTATTGCTATTGTATAATAAATAAGAGTCAAAATATCTTCTTAGAAAATTTGTCCTAATAGAATAAGGAAGTTTTTTTTGTATATTATAAATATAGATTGGATAAATATTAATATTTTATTTTTAGAAGTCTAAATTATTTTGCAAGTGATGAAAATGTTTGACGTGTGGCCAATTTGTTGGCTAAATTTACATCTTATTAATCACCTTCAAATACTTAGAAAGTCAAATCCACATTTATAAAGCTTTTAAAGAACTTGTCCACAAGATATTATCAATTTTACTTAATTTTACTTACTTCTATCTAATTCCTCTTTATTAGTGTTAATATGTATATCCATGATATTACATGCCTTTTAGAGATAAGTTCTAAGAGAATTAATAATCAAATATTGAAAAAGTTCAAAATAAAGCAAATTATATTTATTACATACTTTGATCTTTATTTCTTTTGAAGGTAGTTGATAGGTCCTTTCAACCATCAATAATATTATATACCATAGCAAAAAGATCAACTTATTATATAATCATTGTTGAAGCCTTAATAACTTCTTTTAGAAATATCATTTGAAATACCATGAAGAATGGTTCCTACTTCTAATACTATTACCAAACATCAAAAGTCTTATCCAAGTTTGTAATATCAAATGAGTTGTATCTCACTATCTATTCAAAGAAGAATATGTTATTCTTAAGGATCTTCATTTTTATTACGTTGTCTTAAAGGTTGTAAAATCTTAATGGCTTAAGATATTTTAGCAAAAGATAGCTCTTGAGTTAAATCTCTAAACTATTGATTTTCTATTTTGTTAAGGCAATAAATAAAAAGATTCTTGAATTGCTCCCATATACATTCATTAATATCATATCCATACCCATGCATATGATATTCCAACCTAATTCAACATTGCCTTGAATCTAAGACCTCATCTACTTTAATTTTTTTTCATTATTATTCACTTCTATAGGAAGAAGTAGCATCCATCTTCTCTTTGGTATATCCAGTGTCTTGTATAATTTAAGAAAAGATACATGAAATATCATATTGATTCTTATAGATATTAATAAGTATAATCAATATGCAATTAGATTGATTTATTCACAAATACAAAATATTCAAAGTCTATAAGATTATCAACTTTTTAAAATTCAAAAGTATCAAATTAAAGATGCTAATCATAATTAGCATAGAAAGGTGATTTTTGAATAGAAGAATGTACTATGTTATTGTAAATAAACTTTGCCAATAGCAAAAAAAATTGCCTAATCATTTTAATAGTAGTTGATAGTATATGTCTAATACTACTTTAATACTTAAATTCACATGGTTTATTTGCCTATCAGTTTGAGGATTAAAGACCAAAAATAATTTTATAGTTATTTTTAATATCTTAAAAAATAATTCTCTAAAATTCAAATAAAAATTATAAACCTCTATTTAATGCAATATTTTTTGGCAATCTATGATATAAATAAATATTATTAAAAAAATCTAACTATTTTTTTACCTATAATAAGTTTGTGTATGATACAAAATGTGTCATTTTAGTGAAGAAATCTACTATCACAAATATAAAATAATAAAAATTTAAGATTGAAATATTTATAATAAAATCTATAAAAATAAAAGACTATGCTTGATATATTATTGGAACTAATTGGAAAAGTTCAAAAAATATTAGACATCTTTTATTGTATTTTGAATCTTTTAATCTATAGTAGTCTAAACTTTCTTACAATTTGTTATAAGACCATCATTTGAAATCATATATCCTAAGATATTAACTTGAGTTTTGTAAAATATACACTTTTCCATCTTGACATATAGCCTTGCATCTTTAAGTTTTTGTAATATACAATAAACATAAAGTTCATATTCTTTTGTGATCTTAGAATAGATTAAAATATTATCGAGATAACAAATAATAAAATCATTTAAAAGTTCTTAAAAGATATCATTCATTATATTTTAAAAAATATTTGGCACATTTGTGAGTTCAAAAGATATGATATTATATTCAAAATATCCATATTTGATTCAAAACAAAATCTTTATTCTTCTTCTTTTTTATTATGTATCAAATTATATGTTCTTTCTAGATCTATTTTTGTATAGATCTTTATTTGATTTAGTTAATCAAGACGTCTTAATTTCAAAGATAAAAGGTACCTATTCTTAAAATTAATCTTCTTGAGATCTTGATAATTCACATACATCTATATTAATTTGTTTTATTTTGTTTTTATTTCATTCTTTTTGTTCTTTTTGTTCTTTTACAAATAAGATAGAAGTCTTTATAGAGATTTTAAATGCCGTACAAAGTTCTTAGTTGAATTCTCATTAATGTCTTCATTGAGTGAAGTCAACTCATTTTGTAATAAACCATATATTGGTCCAAATGGTAGTTGAGCTCCTTCTTGAAGATCAATTGAGCAATCATAAAAAAACAATGTTTTAGAAGAATATTTGCATTCTTCTTTTCAAATATACCTTAGTAATGTTTATATTAAATCAAAATAAAACTTAATTTTTTATACAATTAAATACAAGTGTGGAACAAATAACAAAATATGATTTTTTTTTTTTTTTTTTTTTTTTTTTTTTATATGCCTAAAAGTTTTTGCATCTATAATTAAAAATTTGGTTGTATTAGACTTATGATTTTCTTCTTAATTAGAAAAAGAATTGATTATGCTATGAAAAAATTAAGATTGTAAAAAATCTAATCTATTCAAAGAATACACTTTTCAAACCATAATAAACTTAAAGTAATTGAATTAGAAGATGTAATAACATAAAATACTATTAAGCTATTATGACCATTTGCTACTACATCTACAAAAATAATTTTATAGATAACACCTCCAAAAGACAATTGACAACCATCTATGCTTTCTACATTTAAAATTTTAGTTTTTTTTTTACTAAGAATATTTTATATCTTTTAAAAAAATCTTCATTTAAAAAACAAGTTAAGATTCCTAAATCTAATAAGATAGAAGCTTTGTGATTTTTGAATCTTAAACAAATATCTTGTATAAAACAAGGAGATGAAATTTAAAAATTGAAGAATTTTAATTTTTTTATGGTTTTATATAATATTTATTATAGATTATTTTAAAATTTCTATTAATAGTTAAATTTAATTTTAGCTTTTAAATATTTTTATATAAAATAATATTTTATAATAAATATAAGGCTATTGAATATTCTTTATCAATTAGAATTATTTTAAAAATATATTTTAGATAAACAAAAAAATAGTATTTTTATATAATTAATTATTAATTTTGATAAATTTGAGCTAAAAATATTAAGTTTAAATATAAAAATAAGATTTTATAATAAAAAAATAAAATAAAAATTCATCAATTGATTGTCACGGATATATATCTACTATAATTATTACCTAGATAATATGAATAGGTAGAAGTAAATAAAAGTAGATTAATTTCATAATACCTTCTAAAGAAGCTTTCAAGAAGCTCTTTATACATTATTTTGACTTTACATGGGTTTATAGTTGATTGATAGGTCAAAAACTTGGTCAATAAGCTAACCACCTGTCACATGTGTTGGTAGCTTACAGAACAAGCTAACTATGTGGCGCCCATATAGAAAACTTGCTTTGCAAGTTAAGATATATGTCATACAAAGTCAATACGTTTTTGGAGGTCCTATAGAACATTGCTTCATAGATCCTATTTAGATATTATATAGAGAGAGACAAGAGTTAAGCCTTCTTCACTTTTATTAATTCCTTTCTTGCTTGTAGTCTAGATTCAAGAGTCTCTAGTTTCCTTGTCTTTTGGCAATAGCTATTCCAATGTTTTTTAATCTACATACTTCTTTATTTCTATTTTATTACTTTTCTTTTGACATGGATTTCACAACTTTATGCATCTTCTTTTAGTTCATCTCCTTGACATTGGCTTAGTTTTCTATCAAATAGAAGTACTAGAATTATATATATTATATATCATCTAATGATGGTCATAGAACAAGGATGATGCTTACGTGATTTAATAAAAATAACTTATATATTTATTAATATCTCAAAGAACTAATAACTTGATAATACAAGTTATTTCAAAATAAATATTTAATTTTTTATATTAATTATTTTAAAAAAAACATATATTTTATATAATAATTTAGATATATATAT